TTCGTACGAATTTTTTCGTCCGGGTTTTTGGTTCGTCGATTTGGTGGAAACCCCAAACTAGTTGCTCGCGAGCAACTCTCTGCTCAGAATCTTGTGTACCTAGTTGCTCGCGAACAACTCTGCTCAGAACCTTGTGCAACTAGTTGCTCGCCAACAACTCTCTTCTCAGAATCGTGTGCAACTAGTTGCTCGCGAACAACTCTCTGCTCAGAATCTTGTGCAACTAGTTGCTCGCCAACAACTCTCTGCTCAGAATCTTGTTGTGCAACTAGTTGCCCGCGAGCAACTCTCTGCTCAGAACCTTGAGCAATTAGTTGCTCGCGAACAACTCTCTGCTCAGAACCTTGTGCAACTAGTTGCTGCAAACAACTCTCTGCTCAGAATCTTGTTGTGCAACTAGTTGCCCGCGAGCAACTAGTTGCACAAGATTCTGAGCAGAGAGTTGTTCGCGAGCACCTAGTTGCACAAGATTCTGAGCAGAGAGTTGCTCGCGAGCAACTCTCTGCTCAGAATCTTGTGTAATTAGTTGCTCGCGAGCAACTCTCTGCTCAGAATCTTGTGTAACTAGTTGCTCGCGAGCAACTCTCTGCTCAGAGTCTTGTGTAACTAGTTGCTCGCGAACAACTCTCTGCTCAGAATCTTGTGCAACTAGTTGCTCGCGAACAACTCTCTGCTCGGAATCTTGTGCAACTAGTTGCTCGCGAGCAACTCTCTGCTCAGAATCTTGTGCAACTAGTTGCTCGCGAGCAACTCTCTGCTCAGAATCTTGTGCAACTAGTTGCTCGCGAGCAACTCTCTGCTCAGAATCTTGTGCAACTAGTTGCTCGCGAGCAACTCTCTGCTCAGAATCTTGTGCAACTAGTTGCTCGCGAGCAACTCTCTGCTCAGAATCTTGTGCAACTAGTTGCTCGCGAGCAACTCTCTGCTCAGAATCTTGTGCAACTAGTTGCTCGCGAGCAACTCTCTGCTCAGAATCTTGTGCAACTAGTTGCTCGCGAGCAACTCTCTGCTCAGAATCTTGTGCAACTAGTTGCTCGCGAGCAACTCTCTGCTCAGAATCTTGTGCAACTAGTTGCTCGCGAGCAACTCTCTGCTCAGAATCTTGTGCAACTAGTTGCTCGCGAGCAACTCTCTGCTCAGAATCTTGTGCAACTAGTTGCTCGCGAGCAACTCTCTGCTCAGAATCTTGTGCAACTAGTTGCTCGCGAGCAACTCTCTGCTCAGAATCTTGTGCAACTAGTTGCTCGCGAGCAACTCTCTGCTCAGAATCTTGTGCAACTAGTTGCTCGCGAGCAACTCTCTGCTCAGAATCTTGTGCAACTAGTTGCTCGCGAGCAACTCTCTGCTCAGAATCTTGTGCAACTAGTTGCTCGCGAGCAACTCTCTGCTCAGAATCTTGTGCAACTAGTTGCTCGCGAGCAACTCTCTGCTCAGAATCTTGTGCAACTAGTTGCTCGCGAGCAACTCTCTGCTCAGAATCTTGTGCAACTAGTTGCTCGCGAGCAACTCTCTGCTCAGAATCTTGTGCAACTAGTTGCTCGCGAGCAACTCTCTGCTCAGAATCTTGTGCAACTAGTTGCTCGCGAGCAACTCTCTGCTCAGAATCTTGTGCAACTAGTTGCTCGCGAGCAACTCTCTGCTCAGAATCTTGTGCAACTAGTTGCTCGCGAGCAACTCTCTGCTCAGAATCTTGTGCAACTAGTTGCTCGCGAGCAACTCTCTGCTCAGAATCTTGTGCAACTAGTTGCTCGCGAGCAACTCTCTGCTCAGAATCTTGTGCAACTAGTTGCTCGCGAGCAACTCTCTGCTCAGAATCTTGTGCAACTAGTTGCTCGCGAACAACTCTCTGCTCAGAATCTTGTGCAACTAGTTGCTCGCGAACAACTCTCGGTTCAGAATCTTGTGGAACTAGTTGCTCGCGAGCACCTCTCTGCTCAGAATCTCGTGCAACTAGTTGCTCGCGAACAACTCTCTGCTCAGAATCTTGTGCAAGTAGTTGTTCGCGAGCAACTCTAGGTTCAGAATCTTGTGCAACTAGTTGCTCGCGAGCACCTCTCTGCTCAGAATCTCGTGCAACTAGTTGCTCGCGAACAACTCTCTGCTCAGAATCTTGTGCAACTAGGTGCTCGCGAACAACTCTAGGTTCAGAATTTTGTGTAACTAGTTGCTCGCGAACAGCTCTCTGCTCGGAATCTTGTGTAACTAGTTAACTATGGACAAATTGCCGATAGTTGCCTAGAAACCAACTATGTAGTTAGCAGTTGTGAAAACGTGAGCGAAACGAATGCTGAGGAGTTGAAGAAAGGGTTTGCTGCTGCTTGATGCGGGTCCGATGCATCACGCCTCACTAACTTCATGATCATGGCCCCTGTGTTGCGCGGGAGCAACAACATGAAATAAATCCAAGAGTAACATGCTGGGCCGTGTGAGAAAAGGTCAACACCGTTTGCGAGGAGTTAAAATAGGCTGGGTTATTCTGAATATTTATGGTAACAAATACCAAAAAATTGGTACCCCAACTCGTTACTGATGTTTTTTGTTTTACCTACTGTCCCTGCCGATCTCAATCAAATCCCAGAGAAAACGAAGTACGAAATGCTCCCGGAACATGCTTTTTTTTTTTGCCCAACCCGGCCCCAGGGCACTTCCGTGCCACCCTGTTCCCCGGCGCCGTCTTTCTATAGATCATCGACGTCCTCCTCGTTCTCCTCGTCCTCATCATCACCCTCGTCCTCCTCCGTGAGATCCACCGGGCCGAATGCACCGGAAATCCTCTCCAGCTTCGGATTGGGGTTCTTCAACCGCCCGGGCATGTGCTTGTTAGTCGCGCTGTCGGGGCCGTCGGTTGGCAACGCTGGGATGTCGTCCGGAATAAGGTCCAGGTTACCATGCAGAAACAGGATCATTTCCACGTACTAGGCATCGGTGGTGCTACTTGAAGAGGTCATCATGCGTCCAGCGTCGCTGAAGTCGCGCTCAAGTACCGCCGCCGACGCTGGAGCTCCGAACACCACGCGGGTTGCCCGGGCCAGCAGTGGGTACGAGCTCATCCACCTCTTCCACCACTTGAGCACGCTCTCGCAGCTCAGTTCGTCGATTGTTCGCTTTTGGAGCGCGTACGATTGTTCGCTCCAGGGTGGTGTGTGCGTGCGAGCGGTGCGTGTTGTGCACACGGGCCTCATGCCGCGTCCAGCTTGTGCACCCGAAAGTGCTCTTAATTTTAATTGACAACGAGCCGGGCAATTAGTTGACAACCACCCGGGGAACTCATCTCTAATTTTATTGTTGACTCTCTCATTTTTCTTTGCAACTACCCGGGCAACCAGTTGCCCGGGAACAACTAGCTCTCCGCTCGGAATCTTGTGCAACTAGTTGCCCGCGAACAACTCTCTAACTCAGGATCTTGTGCAACTAGTTGCTCGCGAGCAACTCTCTGCTCAAAATCTTGTACAACTAGTTGCTCGCGAACAACTCTCTGCTCAGAAGCTTGTGCAACTAGTTGCTCGCGAACAACTCTCTGCTCAGAATCTTGTGCAACCAGTTGGTCGCGAACAACTCTAGATTCAGAATCTTGTGCAACTAGTTAAATACGGACAAACTGCCGATAGTTGCCTGCAATCCAACTAACTTAGTTGTTATAGTTGTACAGGGTGTGAAACAGTATGGCGCGGAGAAGAATCGAATCCACTGATCTCACAGCACTAAGATACCACGCCCCCTGGACCGAGTTCCAAAGCTTGATTATTCCACAACAGAAGAAGTGGCGAGCCCGGGAATGGCGACATTGGAACTGTGTCGTCGAGAGCTTTTCGAAAATGTATCGTTGAGTTTTCGGAACCGTCTTCGTCGCGGAACAATATAGGTTGAGACTTGGTCAAGGGTGTGTGGTATCTTGTGCAACCTACGGTTTCCGTTGATTCTTGCTTTCAACACGATATATATTGCATATTTTGGAACCACCTGTGTCATTCGAGCAAGCCATCTAAAACAATTGGGTGTGGTGAGGGCTGGGCGTTGGTTGAAGCATGTGGACGGTCGACGCGGTCGATGCTATGCATGTGTGTGGACAGGTCAGATAGAGCAGAGATGCGGGGTTGTGACTGTACGTTGTTACTGTTGAAAGAATAACGAGCGCTCCCCCCCTTAAAAAAAAAACGTTGAAAATAACGAAGTGTCTACCCGCCCTCCAAAGAGCTCTGTTATGAGACTGGGCGCTTATTGACGTCTCCGGGAGAATCCCCGCTCTGGACATGGTGAGAATGAGCACGCAGGAGACCGAGAGTAGTTGGGTGTGCAGGACCAACTGCTAGTGTCTAAGCGTACATGCATCTACAGGACGTGGAGAGTTCGAGCCTTTCCCAACGGAGACATACACCGGACGCTCCGGTGGTCTAGTGGATAGCCTCGCAGCCTGCGAATGACGAGGTCATGGGTTCGAGTCCCGGCAGAGTGAGTTTTTTTCTCACTAAATAAATCCTGGTCTAGGACGAAAGCGACGCGCTGCAATGCTCGTTGTTAGTAAGGGTGTGTCTTATCAGGCCGCAAAAATATGTAACTTTTTTCGCGGAACCGTAGCTAGGGTTTCCGGTGGTTCTTATCGGCAGAAGGCGCGAAGGTGCGTGTTTTTTCAAAATTTACGGGAAGCGCCACGGCTCGACGTACACACACCGGTCCCGACCAGGCGAGAGACCCGAGGACTCCCACAACAGACGTGATAAACCCACACCA